CGCTATGCGCTACTACGCCGCCCACAAACGGTATGGGTGTGCGATGTCCACGGGAAAGCCGTATTGCTACAACAAACCCGCTTACCACCGGCACTAAGAGGTTATTTGTTTACCTCCATCGACTAGAACCACAAGAATGCGTTGAATCAGGCGCAGCATACCCGCAGATCCATCACAAGACGCAATACCGCAAGTAGCAGTAAGCATCAATGCAACTATCAAACGAATGGCGCCCCCTCACAACACACCCATATGACCCCTATCGATTTTGGTAACAAAGTTTTTATTGTTGTTATATAAAAAATATCACCAACGTATCATAGTAGCACGCCACTAAGACGCCAATGAACAAAACTCCACGTATCATAGCGCTAATGCACTAAGACACGAAGTTGAGTATGCCTGTTACACTTAAAAGTGCTACCAAACACACTCATCATCCCAATCCGAAAGACAGACGACGCATCGCTATGCGCTACGACGTCGCCCACAAACGGTATGGGTGTGCGATGTTCACGGGAAAGCCGTATTGCTACAACAAACCCGCTTACCATCGGCACTAAGTGTTAATTGTATACCTCGATCGACCAGAACAACAGGAATGCGTCGAATCAGGCGCAGCACACCCGCAGATCCATCACAAGACGCAATACCGTAAGTAGCAGTAAGCATCAATGCAACTATCATACGAATGGCGCCCCCCTCACAACACACCCATATGACCCCCATCGATTTTGGTAACAAAGTTTTTATTGTTGTTATATAAAAAATATCACCAACGTATCGTAGTAGCACGCTACCAAGACGCCAATGAACAAAACTCCACGTATCATAGCGCTAATGCACTAAGACATGAAGTTGAGTGTCTGTTACACTTAAAAGTGCTACCAAACACACTCATCATCCCAATCCGAAAATAGACGACGCATCGCTATGCGCTACTACACCGCCCACAAACGGTATGGGTGTGCGATGTCCACGGGAAAGCCGTATTGCTACAACAAACCCGCTTACCACCAGCACTAAGATGATATGTCTAGGACACATCGGTTAGCGAGTCCAAGTTTACCTCGGACCAATTGCTCGTGAAGCAGCATACACGCCACCATAATATTCCTTTTCAAGTCCCTAATAAGGACTAGTCATTTTGCTACAGTACTAGGAGCAGTCGGTCACCCGACCACTCCATACAATGCTTGTGCATCAAGGAGACCTCCTATAATATTGCTTTTGTATCATAGACCTTACTTTCATAAGTCATTCATATATAGGATTCGAACCCACGACCCTACTATTGTAATGCATATTAATCATAGAGACCTTCTATAGTATTGCTTTTGTATCATAGACCTTACTTTCATAAGTCATTAATATATAGGGTTCGAACCCACGACCCTACTATTGTAATGCATATTAATCATAGAGACCTTCTATAGTATTATTGTATTTGTATCATAGACCTTACTTTCATAAGTCATTAATATATAGGGTTCGAACCCACGACCCTACTATTTTAATGCATATTCATCATAGAGACCTTCTATAGTATTGCGTTTGTATCATAGACCTTACTTTCATAAGTCATTAATATATAGGGTTCGAACCCACGACCCTACTATTGTTATGCATATTCGTCATAGAGACCTTCTATAGTATTGCTTTTGTATCATTGAGTTTATTATCATAAGTCCCTAATATAGGACTAGTCATTGTGCTACAGTACTTCAGGCAGTCGGGCTCCCGACCACCCCATATATATGTACAACTGCAGGTATGTATCTCCGGCAGCTCCTCTATACAAGACCTCTATACATGAACACCTTCCATAACTTAGGAAACTTTTCTTTTATACGTGAACTCCTTCCACAACTTAGGGAATTTCTTTTATACACGAACTCCTTCAAAAACTTAGGAAAATTTTCTTTTATACATGAACTCCTTTCACGACTTAGACAATTTTCAACAAATTTTCTAATTATCTTATAAATGTTATTTATCTTTATTTTTATAATATTTTCGACTTGTATTTCTATTAATTATCTTATTTTAAATATTTTTTCAAGTTTTTAATAAATTTATATATTATGGAAGACAACATTTTGCCTTTAATTTACTATGTTATTGGTCTAATGTCTGAAATGTATTTATATTAACTTTATGGTTATTAATGTAATTTTATTGCTTAATATATATCTTTTAAAACTATTTTGACGCACCTTTATATTGAATTTAATTATTAATAATAATATTGGGCCGTCACAATCTGATAAAAAAACTTTTTAACACATGTTGTTGCATTCATTATATTACTAAATACATGATCTATACAGTTGTTTCCACGCGTTGGTACATTAATATGTCTATACAAATTATAATTCGAAATTATGTCATTTAATTCAATTGTATTTTTGCTATTTTCCAAGGTATTAATGTTAATGTCTCCAGCAACAATAATTCTTTTATTGTGATTATTTATTAATTTTGACAATAAGTTTTGTAGTTTAAAAAAAGAATATATTCGCATTTGAACCAGGTGTCCTATAGATGCATATTACGTAAATATTATGTAAAGGAATTTCTATTCCACAACATTCAAAATGCTCGTCAAAATGTAGTGAAAAAGATAATTTGTGTAAAGAACAAGGTTAGTTATTGTTAATCGTTGTTTAACAAATCCATTTTTTTTTCAGGTATAATACATAATTATGTTATGTAAAATCGGATAAATTTGCTTATGTTTTAGCCTCTCAAGAACCTTCGATATAGTTGATAACAAAGATATAGGGCTTTAGTTAGAAACTTTTGTAAACTGGTGTTATATTTGCGTCCTACCATATCTGGGGCACAGTCCTTTCATTACATTGGTTAAAGATAAGACACAAGGGAACACTAATAGCTGCGGCAGTATGTTCGAGGAAAAATGGTGGAAGGCCGTCAGATCCAGGTCCTTTGGTAATATCGAGTTACATAAGCTCTTTGACTATGCTGTCCTTCGAAAAGTATATATTTGAAATAATCTCCGAATTGGGTAGACTGGTTACTAAAATTCTCATGCTGCAACTGCTGTTCATTTTCATATACGGAGCTGAAAATTTCAGAAAATAATTCACAGATAGCCTCTGGTGTATCAGATTTCCTATTTTTATAAGTCATAACGTTAGGTATTCCACTTTTACCTTGTCGATTATTAACAAAGGACCAAAATAATTTAGTGTCTTTTTGAAGCCCCTTTTCGATGGAATTAATATAAGTATTGAAGCAATCGGCACACAGTGTCTTAAATCTGTGTCGAAGCAATGGAAAGTGGGAATAATCCGCTTTATTTTTTTTCCACCTTAACCAATATCTTTCTTTTTCTTTAAAACATGAATATAATTTTTTGATGAACGAAGCGAACCATGCATTTGTATAAATTCATAAATTTTTTCATAAAATATATTAACTGACTCTTCAGCAGTTAGCCCTTTTGTAAGAGAATACCAGTTGATGTGAGAGATTTACAAATGGTGGAATAGTTTGATTTTCTTCACGTTTCAGAAAAATATACGCAACGAAATGAATTAAATATTCCTGAATAAATTTCCATTTATCCTCAGAATTATCCATATTACTCTCTCTCTCTCACTTTACTCAAGGAAGTTTAAAAGATTAGGTTACAACTAAACGAAATTTTGATGAAAAAATAAAAATGCTTATGAGGCGTGCACTTTAGGTTTTTCTGAACTATCTGTTTTTACCGCTGCTTGTCAAAGATAATGCTTTATATAAACCACGGTGATCAGACTCAGAGGATCGGTACAGACGTGAGAATTGCATTGAAGTATAATTTACGTATATATTACTTCAATGCAGCAATGTGAATCGAAACTGGGTAGAGCTACTGCTTTCTAAAATAGACGACTATTCCGAGATTCTTTCCTTTTCTAATAAAGAACAAAATATTTTTTCGGAGTTGCTTTTTGTTGTTATCACATACTAACTTCAATAAATTTATGGCCTATACTTCAATAAATTATAATATATTCAATAATTTTAGTCCTAATCTATCATTTGAGTTATTAGATCAATTATTTTCTTTTGTTCATGCAATTATTCAAACAAAAATATTATTTTTCTAAAACTTTAGAAACCTTAATGTAATGGAAGCATCTACTTAATCTGGCGGCTACTTAAAAATTGCTGGGGACACAACGTAAGCTTGTTCAAAGTTACAACTCAAATCAAATATCGGGCCTTAATAAATAATTTTATAGTTCGTGTATTCAGCACATTTATCAATACTAGGTGTTAGGAGACCTTTCGGTGTTGGAGTCCATGTGGATTTTTTTTATTAATGTAACCGTTGAGTTTTGTGTTTTGTGTCGCTTCTTGTAATAAGGGTTTCCCGTAAAATGAACTTGTTAAAGCGATGGAGTAGTTTTTTTCTAAAAATAGTGCTTTGTTTATTACTTATATAGTTCTAAAGAGAGAAATTTTCCCATATGTTCATTAATTTTATTTGTTTAAGTTAGTATCGTCAGCCTGCAAAAAATATTTCTTTAATATGGTTTAAAAAATACAACATATGTATTCCGCAGTTTGTTTTGGGACAAGAAATTTTTATTACATTTTTAGTTTACTTTGACGCTACCTTCATATACATTTTTATATTTATTTTATAGTAAGTAATTAACATTTTGCTTAAAGGTGACTGTAAAAGTAAAGTAAAGTAAAGTTACAGCCTATATACGTCCTACTGTTGGGCACAGGCCTCCTCTCGTTTCTGAAAAGGTGTTGGGGCAAAGAAATGTCCGACGCGTTGCCCCATTGCGTGTTGGCGAACTTCACATGTCTTCGAAATAATTTTTTTTCTTATTTCTCAGACATGCAGGTTTCCTGACGATGTTTTCCTTCACCGGCGAGCACGTGGTAAATCAGTACTTAAAATTGCAATTAACAATTTCCTTGGTGCCGGCGGGGAAGGTGACTGTAACATAAATTATTTGATAAACTTAACTTTCTTAGTTTATTAATTCTATTACAAACACGATTAGGGATATAGCACAGCCAAAAATCCAAACATATATTGCACCCGCAATTTGTTTTATTGTGATGGCACATCCAGATTCGCAACGGTAACTATTCGCCATAATATTTTCGTTAGCATTTTTAGCTTTTGCAAGAATCAATAAACCAATTTCTTCTAGGTACAGCCTGTCGCAAATGCCCGCCTCAAAAAGGCTTGTGACAATGTATCGAAACTTACTGACAAAGGGACTGTCATTTCGAACAACCATCTCATGATAAGTAACTATAATACTTTCCGGAACCCTTAACAACCGAGCTTCATTTTCAACAGCAGTGGATGCTTGAAAAGGATAAAAATATCCTTCAGGAATGATGGTAAGTCCTTTGTTAGAAATGGTCTTGTACTCGCAGTCTCGAAATTCAGAACAATTTAGTGAAGTATTTGCAAAAGCGATGTACTTGGCGTCTTCTACAAAAAATTTGGTGTCGTAAATTAAATAAGGCGTTTTATCTGATTCTATAACTTCATCGTTCGTTTTGAACGTCTGTGGAGGTCCTTGGATAGTATAGAAAGAATACAATTGCACGCTAATATATGCGGTCAAGTGAATACAAAGAATTAGATAGAAAAGATTTAATATTTTCTGCTTCAACGTTGTAGAATCTTGTAAAGAAGCTGCACCTATTAACACACCCCAGCTGTATAGAAAGGTGTCTCTCCAAGATACATTGAGACGATCAAAATTACAGAATAGTATCCAAATTACTGAATAACAAATATAAAATGTAATAAAAATATATAATCCATTAAATTTACCCACAATTGTGCGCCAAGATCTTGGTTCTCTTTCTACCTGATATATCCAAATAACTGCTTGCATGTTATATATACCTGAATAAGAAACCGAGTCTCCATATACTCTGTAAAGCCCTCCAGCACAAGCATCTAAGCTGCCGTTCAAAAGGTTTGAAATAAATTCATGATGTAAAAATGCACCTCCATCTTCTTTATAAATATAATATATATTTAATGACGCATTAAAGTAGTATGCAATAATTTTCATTATTTCATAATCAGATCCACGTATTTGAGATTCATTTATTTGTTGCAGATTTTGTAGGGATTCTTTATTTTCTATGATTGAATATGGATACAATGTAGCCATTCCCACGTGAAACGGACATCCCTTCAGATTGTTTATTTCTTTAGCAGGAAATATCACAGATTTACCCAATGTTCCATTGACACAAATGTTAATTGTAGTAAGCTTAACTTTGACATTATAATCACAAGTACTTTCATCGATTTCTGGAATAATCGTTTGAAATTTATAAAGTGTATAATTCTCGGACTGGGAAATGAATGTGGCGTCATAATGTTGAAGTGTCCGTCCAAATTTTTCTAAATCCATATTACAATTTTCATCTTCATTGATAATTATTAAGTATTTCAATTTTATGTCAAAAACTGTAACGTCTAACCGTTCAGAAATTTCACACTTATTGACGAAAATAACAACTAATATATTACTTCCTCCAAATTTCTTCGCTGTTTCATTTAGATGTTGAAAATTTTGTATGATAATCTGCGGCACGCATTCGTCTGAAAGAACTTTCGTAAGAATTCCCATATTTTGTAAGTTTTTAGAAACGCTATATATTATATCGTATTCAATAATGATAACTGTTGGATTTCTGTACTCTTCGGTGCTTACAACAGCACCTAAACATTTTGCCAGTAATTCTATCTCTCTGATAGAATTCGAATGTAAGGGCATAGCTTCTGAACTTGATGTTTGTGTAATAAATATATAAAAGAAAATGTAGAATGTACGAGTAGTTTCTTTAAAAAGCAACATGTCGTTGTTACGCTTTCGAAAGTACCAACCAAAGTAATACTATTTTATAAATGAGATATTATTGTTTGCTACAGAGAGTTAAGAAACATTCAGAACGGACAAATAAATATTCATATAGAAAGTAATACTTTTTGAAAACAGTTATCGTCCTGTACTATTTTAAACTTGACTTTGGAGTATTATTGTTACATGCAGCAGTCATCTGATGATATCATATTAATACGCTATTGACAAATCTATAATTTTGTTTATTAATTATATACTTTTGGCCGTAGAAGGAAAGGGAGATCTTCAACCAGACAAATTGTTCAGCCCAGGAAGAGTCTAACGAAGTCTAACGAAGTCGAATTTTCAAAAAATTCGATAGCGTATTTAAGGTTTAGATTCGTTTTGCTTGTGACGATACAGCCGTCAAAAACTTCTGGTATCTTCCTGTATCTTCTATTTCATATGTTACAATTCTCCATTAACTATAATGATAGTTGTTCGTTTGAAGATTATTTTTTGGTATTTATAGGCTGTGTAACATCAAAAAGCTTTCATTTTCGCTATCACAAAAACTTTAGAAAACACTATCAGTTTCTAATGAAAAACCATTACACCATTGACAAAAGTTTGCGAAATTTATATAACTACACTGTTAAAATCGGAAAAATATTATTGTGGTGGAGGTATAAATTGTTATTACTAGAGCATAATATCAGATATATTTCTTTTTCATTTTAATTTTATCCGAGTTTATTTGTTAAAAAAGGACATAAAGTTACATGAAATATGTTCTAGATAAGGAAGGCGAGTGGCGAAGGAACTACCATAAATAATACAAAATAGCAAGATTTACTATAAAAAAGATGTCATTTTAATTTCAGAGTGCTGATAGTTTACACTATTTTTGTACATTTTACAAATATGAAGTTAAATAATTTTAGTATAATATCTGAATTCAACTCAAGTTGACAAAGCTTCGTGCAATTAAAGGGAAGATAGCCCTTATGGCCCAGGCATAAGTGGCGTAACATCTCACCGTCCAACAGTTAAAGCTGCATTATAGTTTAGACGGGTCTCGTATGAGAGTTGAGCTAAAACTGAATACTGGTAAATTAAGTGGATACTTATCCATTTTCATAAAATTATAAGGCATAAAATAACATATCACACAATTGTTTATCCTAATTATATTTATTCATAACATTAATAACGCATAAAAGCTTATACATATTTTTTTAAACATAATTGCACCAATAATGATCAATCATAACTGTCTAAAACATAAAAACATTTACGCATAGTGATATTAAAATACAATTTTTATTAGGCATAAAAATACTCATAAAAATTAACTCCTAAAATACTCGTATTAGACACTAAAACACATTTTTATACAATATTGCATTAATGAAATTCGTAGGCACCTTACATTGTTAGTAGAACAAATTATTTTTTAATTTTTCTAAGTACACGCTAGACAGTATCATAAAATATTGTGTCACTAAGTGTATTATTTTAAAGTTTTAATTTAATCCTTTAAATAAAGTGAATTGTATTTATCTACAAATGGAAAATACAGTGCATACCTTTATAACTAAAAGAGGCGGAATCTAATTTTATATGATTTTTTTAACAAATAAGAGAGAAAATAATTAGTTGAAAGGAAAAAGCAAGAAAAAACGGATAAGAATGATAGAAGAATATCGGATAACTTCCAGGCAAGTATTAAAATGTTCTGGAAACTCGTAAGAAATAACAGACGAGAATGGCTGCGTCCTGAATGATGAAGTGTTGAGTCTAATAAGATGGAAGGAATATTTTGAAAGCGTATTTATGAGTGAGGAGAAGTGTGAACTAAATGAAATAGAAATTCCGAAAGAAGATGAAAGAGATAGGGAGATAAGTATAAATGAAATAATGAAAGCAATGAAAAGCACGAAAGTAGGTAAGGCAGCCGGATATGATAGAGTTTCACTCGAAATGCTAAGGGCTGGAGAGGACGTGGTGGCAGGCCTGCTGTACACCTTGTTTAATTTATGTTGGGAACTAAAGCAGGTACCGGGAGACTGGTGCAAAACCGTGATAGTCCCAATATATAAGGGAAAAGGGTCACAGCAGGACTGTAAAAATTACCGTGGTATCAGCCTTCTTAGCATTGTGGGAAAACTGTATGCTAAGGTACTAATTGAAAGAGTTACGAAAGAAACTGATGAAAAAAATTTGGGATGTGCAAGCGGGATTTAGAAAGGGAATGGGGTGTACAGATCAAGTCTTTTACAGGCGCATGATCGCGGAGAAGTTTTTGGCGAAAAACCAAAAAGCTTTTTGTGCGTTCATGGACTTGGAAAAGGCTTATGACAGAGTGGACAGGGATGTGTTATGGCAAACGCTGAACGCATTTAGATTGAGCGCTGGTTTAATACAGGCAATAAAGTGTCTGTATAGGGACTCGAGTGCTTGTGTTAGAATCAACGGGGTCTACTCGGACTGGTTTGGCATCCATAAAGGTGTCAGACAGGGCTGTGTAGCTTTCCCGTGGCTGTTCAACCTATTTATGGCCAGTTGTTTGGAAAATTTGAAATTTGAAGAATGCGGGTTACGAATGGGTGAGTTAACCATGAAATGCCTTTTGTACGGCGATGATCAAGTCATACTTGCGTCGTCGGCGGCCGAGTTGCAAATGTTGGTTACATTAATGAACAGGTCATTAAAAGAAAGGGGAATGAAAGTGAACGCAAGTAAGACGAAAGTGATGGTTTTTGAAAGAGAAGAAAGCAAAACGGTATGTGAAATAAGAATAAAAGGAGAGTTAATTGAGCAAGTGGATGAGTTCGTATATTTGGGATGTGTATTCAGCAGGGATGGGAGATATGATAAGGATATTGAACGACGAGTGAATGCAGGAAATAAAGTAAATGGGACTCTACACTCTATTGTGAAAAGTCAGAATGTGTCAAAAAAGGCACGTATGGCAATTCACAATGCTGTATTAGTCCCTACTTTAACATATGGTAGTGAAAGTTGGGTGTGGCAGAAGAAGCACGAGAGTAGAATACATGCAGTAGAAATGCGCTCGCAAAGGAGTATGTAAGGGCTGAATCTGAGTGACAGGGTGAGAAACTGTGTGATAAAAGAAGAGTGTGGTTTGCAAGATGATGTGGTGACCAGGATTAAGAAAGGAATGCTTCGGTGTTTGGTCATGTAGAAAGAATGCGGAAAGACTGACAAAGCAAATATATGTTGCAGAAGTGAATGGAAGAGTCGGAAAAGGACGTCTTAGGCGGAAGTTTGTCGACCAAATTGGCGATATACTAAAAATGGGCCAAATTAAGAGTACCCTTAACCGACGAGCATGTATGCGTAGGTATATGGATGTGGAAAAGGCGAGAAAGGTATGTCAGGATCGTGCTAAATGGAAGTCTGTAGTCTCTGCCTACCCCTCTGGGTGACAGGCGTGAGTGTTTATGTATGTATGATTTTTTTTCACTGGTTGTACAACTTAGTTTTCAGGTTTTGAGGTATACCTGACGAGAAGATGCGTCGTAATTTCCCGAACGCTGCCCAGCCGAGTTGAATCCGTCGATTGACCTCTCGGTCGAAGTTGGACTTACCTAGCCGGACTATTTGTTCCAGGTAAACGTACTCGTCAACAACTTCGAGCTTAGTGCTCCCAACAACTACCGGCATAGATGTGACATGGACATTGAACATGATCTTTGTTTTGTCCATGTTCATCTTAAGACATATCCGTTGGGAGACACCATTGAGGTCATTGAGCATAGTGCTTAAGTTCTCCAGCAATTCTGCCATAAGGACTATATCGTCGGCAAATCGAAGGTCAGTGATGTACTCGCCATTGATGTTAATACCGTATCCTTTCCAGTCCAGTAGCTTGAAAACATCTTCCAATGCAGAATAAATGAATAAATTAATAGACAGAATGACTTATAAACCTGAAATTGGATATTTGGTGTTCTTTAAACATATAGTTTGGATGTTAGGTATGTTGACTAAAAATCGATTTATATCCATTGTATTTGAAATTAAATTAAATTATTTATCTACAGGGGTTATACATTTAAAAAAAACTTTTAGTACCCTACCATGTGGGTGTAATAGTGATCATTAAGTGGAATATAAATATATTTTTTAATATTTTAATTATCAAAATAAAGAATTGTGATCTGAAAGTTGTCGGTTCGATTTTGTTAAGAGGTCGAAAACTAAACTAAGGTACGTGAGGGTAATGTACATATACCTTAAGCTTTGCCGCCCTATAAAACCAAAACTAAGAAGAGGATAAAGACAAAAACAAAAAGTCGTATACTATAACTAACATATTAAGAATAAAAAGAAACAGCTTTGGCACTATTAGGAACACTTCGAAAAATCAAATTAAGAAAACCAACTACACTGCACCATACTAAAATCGACTATAATATCTACTATATTGTAAACTGTCAAAACTCTTCTGCCCTTTTAACCTTTATTATTTGATTGACCGATGAAGATCTATCGTATCACAGAGCCATCTGTGAGCCTTGTTTGCAAGACTGTAGTTTTTGAGTTAGAAGAAAGTAGACCATATCATATTACCCCCACGTACTACAGTTAGAAATTAAAAATTTCTATATAATAAACCTTAGGTATAATCTGTGTATTATGCACGCACCGTATTAAAACAAAAAAAGAATGAAATCACCGATTCATGGTATAGATCATAAGCGATGACCAAAACTAACGAACATTTAAAAAGTTTATTTTGTTACCACGGGTTAGAAAAAATGTTACTTAAATAAATATATAGCTTTAAAAAGTTAATCAGACATAATATGTACAGAACCCTATGAGATCTAGATGCGAATCGCACTTAACCGATTTTACTAGCTTATCGTACGCCTGATCGTTGGCGGCTTCCTTACTCATGGACA